TCTCTCTCTCGTCTCTCTGCTCTCTCTCTCCTCTCTCTCTCTCTCTCTCTCTCTCTCTCTCTCTCTCTCTCTCTCTCTCTCTCTCTCTCTTCTCTCTCTCTCTCTCTCTCTCTCTCTCTCTCTCTCTCTCTCTCTCTCTCCTCTCTCTCTCTCTCTCTCTCTCTTCTCTCTCTTTCTCTCTCTCTCCTCTCTCTCTCACTTCTCTCTCTCTCTCTCTCTCTTCTCTCTCTCTCTCTCTCTCTCTCTCTCTCTCTCTCTCTCTCTCTCTCTCTCTCTCTCTCTCTCTCTCTCTCTCTCTCTCTCTCTCTCTCTCTCTCTCTCTCTCTCTCTCTCTCTCTCTCTCTGTACACATACACATACACATACACATACACATACACATACACATACACATACACATACACACTTGAAATAAAACTGACTAAAGATGAATATTAAGTGTTGCAGGTAGGACCTGAAAATATGGATAGCAAGAATGACTTCAGTTGCACTGATTTTATCAAATATACACATACATGTGTAAATATGCATGCGAGGGTACAGGCTAAGGCACACAAACACATTGGCACAAACACACACATTCGAAGTGAAATTGCTTAATGGTGAATATTGACTATAGTAGTCAGGACCAGAGAATATACGATAAGAAAATCAGTGGTGATTTTAACAATGAATTACCGAACAATCTTAAAAACAGTTTTAAATTTTAGAATATGACCAAATAATTTCTTTGAAAGCATTTAAAGATTTATTTTTGGATGAGTCATTATTATCCATTCTATGATATTTGCACTAAAAGAAATTTATTCAAGGACCAATTGTATATATTGCAGAAAGTAATGAAGATGAATGGGAGAAAGTTGATGCGTCAGAAGCTGCCAGCACCCAAGTGACACCTGCAGAAAAGCCCGAGAAAGTAGCGGGCACTGAAGAGGGTAAGGTAGGTAGAGATAGGAAGATTTAAGTTCTGTTTATTTGCATTTTTTTTTTCTTTCTTTGTTTTAGTCTCTTTTCTTTTTACGTTCATATATATATATATATATATATATATATATATATATATATACTATATATATATATATATATATATATATATATATATATATATATATTATATATATATATATATATATATATATATATATATGTTTTATTTTTTTTATTTCATGTATTTGTATATTTTTGTAGGAAGAAATAAGCAATGAAATATTGTAGGAGTAGATTTGATTTTTATATTTTTATTTTATTATTATTTTTTTTTATATTGATTTAATTCTCTATATACATTTTTTTGTCTTTTTTCTTTATTTTTTTTTTTTTTTTTTAGAGAGAGAGAGAGAGTGAGGAAATGTGAGAGAAATTAGGAAAGAGACAAGGTTGCACTGATTGATTTGAGCAAAATAAGAAATACTTTTTCTTAATGAGAATGGATGTGAAAGAAAGAGGAAGCAGCTGATTTATTTTTGAAGGAAACAGCAGAAAGGGAAGAATGAAAGTTAAGAAATTGGGAAGGTTGTGACAGATTTTTATTGATAGAAAGATGGAATGGAAACAAAACATATGATGACCTCTCTTTTGAAAGATAAGATAAAAGGAGAAAGGGAATGCAAAGTGGTAATTAAAATTTTTTGAGAAAAATAGAAAGGGAAATGTACAGGAAAATGGAAACCGCAAGTATTATTAAAAGTTGAAATGATATATATTTTGAGAGGATATGAATAAGAGAATAAATGACATTTTGATGACATATATAATATAAGGGTCTAGATAAATAATCTTCTTTTTATAAACATAGATTTCGAAATATGTATATACCTGTTTTCATAGATGTAGAAAAAAATAGTTGGTATATGTAGCTGTATGTATTGTACGTACCTGAAGACTTTTTCCCTTCAACCTTTCAGAGTGAAGAATGGGAGAGTTGGGACTGAGCACACTGGAGAGTAGAAGGTCCTTGGAACACTGGTTGATAACTCTTCCCGATCACGTTTAGCAGCGGCGACACAACGTTGCTGGAGGGATTTGTACATTGATATCTGAACTGTAGAAGTCAGGATTTGCAGACAAGTAATATATACCCAATGGGATTAGCTTCCCCCTCCCTTCCTCGCTCCCTCATATGGTCTTAGTTGTTAATTCCTTTTACTTATTTTCTATCTTAATATACAAAGAGAAACACTAGAAGATAGAGGAAGAACTTTTTGATAGAAGTCCTATATCACAGACATTGCCTTCCAGAACTTTCCTTCTTATATCATCATATCGTATGGTTTTTATCATCACTCTTTTTATCACTTGTAATTCGTATCTCCATCCAGACATTTTGGCTGAGTAATTTAGCTTCACAACTACAGTAGCTCCCCATGAACTTGCATCACAATCAAGGAGAGATGCTGGCACCATTCCCTGCTTGGGATCTCTTCCCTTCCCCTCACTCCGTTAGTCGAGTAAAGTTTCAGTGGGTATCTAGAGAGGTCTTTTGCATGAAGGAAAACTTTATATATTAGTCAAAACTACTGGTGTGTGGTGCTTATGAATCCGATTGTATCATTGCCACGGATGTTACTTATACGTGATATTTTTATTTGTATTTTTTAAGAATTATTATTATTGTGTTTTTTTATGCTATAATGTTAACCTCCTTGAGATAATGTGTGCAATTGATGAGGTGATGGCATTCACATTTATATATTTTGAGTTTTATTAAAGAGATCTTGAGTCACTTACAAAGCATGTGATTGTAATATGAACAAAGTCTAATGTGTGTGAGTGTATATATACCATTTATATAGATATATATTCTTGTGGAGTTGTTATGGAATGCATAATATAATTTTTTTATTTTCTCTATTTGGCTGCTCACCAAAGGGGGTTTGCTGTAAAGACAATAGTAGAAGTAATATTAATCATTAAATATATTGTTATAAACAATCATGTTTTGAAGGCATAGTGTAAAAGCCAAAGCTTTTGAGTGGGATTTTTATTTTACCTTGGTGAAAGAAAAGCCTAGTGGAGTTTGCCTCCAGGAAACCCTCTTGGTTGAGAAGGAACATGAATGAGGTCTTACTATAATGCATGAAGTAAAAGTGTACCAGATTTTCATATTTAGATTTTTATGTCTATGCTATAAGCAGTCTACAGATGGGGATTGTCTTGCAGTGTAAGAAATTGGAGAGCAAGATCGTTTTGTGGGATGTTAAAAAGTTAGCCTGAAAAAGAGGAGACAGTGTTTTTTATATATATGTCTGTGATCCTTTCAGGTTTGAAATAAAAGATGAGAATAATGCTTCGTCTGTGATCCTATGTATTTTTTGTTTATACAGAATTAATGTTATGAATAATGTATATCCATATATTACATATCCTAAAAGAAATGAAGAGTCAGAAAAGGGAAAATTATAAGATTTTACAAGTTTTGAATTTATTATTATTATTGTTTATTTATATATATATATATATATATATATATATATATATATATATATATATATATATATATATATATATATATATATATATATATATATATATATATATATATATATATATATATATATATATATATATATATATATATATATATATATATATATATATATATATATATATATATATATATATATATATATATATATATATATATATATATATATATATATATATATATATATATATATATATATATATATATATATATATATATTATATATATTATATATATATATATATATATATATATTATATATATATATATATATATATATATATATATTATATATTATATATATATATATATATATATATATATATATATATATATATATATATTATATATATATATATATATATATATATATATTATTATGTATATACATATATATTTTATATATATATAATATTTGTTTTTACAAAATTCCTCATTAGGCTGTTTAGTTGTGCAGTCTTTCAGGATTAAAATCATGTTATGGTTAATGGAGCTTGTATGAATTGTGTTCATGTTTAAAGAAATTAGGTGAATGTATGTTGAAATGAATATGCTTCTTGTCTAATGTGTTTTCATTGGCTGTATGATTTAGTTATTGGTTTTCATCTCCATTCCTATTCATATATATATTACAACTGATTTTAATGGTATTTTCATAAATCATTCCTCTTGTGGTATTAGAAGAAAGAGATTGTCCAGGTTATATACGTATGTATCTTGAGAAATCATGATGTAATGATGATTTTCTTTGATTTCATCACTGGTTCAAGGGACATGCAGTATCCACTCTAGTTTTGTTTTCTTAATTTATTAATACATATATGGCTTCACAAGTGCTTTGTTATTAAGGCATTAGGAATTAGGCCTATCTTAGTTGACCTGTTTACCGCTTGAATTTTCAGAAAATACTAATACTAATATTGTAGTTATTAACATTATTGGGAGTAGTGTTATTGGCATATAAAATATTATCATACTAACATTCTTAGTAGTAATACTATAGACAACATTTTTATTTTTTTGATGCTCTTAATGATTTTAATAGAAATAGAAATAAAGACTTGTTTCCAAGAATTCAGGGAATAGGCTAAACAGGTGAGATATGGGTAGGCCTAGTGCTGTGGGTGACTCTGCGCTTTAGGAGCCATTTATGTGCAAACAAAATGATTTAACTAAGATCGAGAGTAAACAAAGCATATACGTATTGCCTTCCATGCTTCAGCAGGTTGATTATTAGCTTAAAAAAACAGTTGATTGATTCAACAGTTTCATCATCAAATTCTTTGTAATGTGAGTAGTTTTAAAACAAGGATGTTGACAGAGGGAAAGTGACTATTCATGCAGCATATGCTTTTACTTCAGCTAAAGACAAATTTAGAAAGATAAAAATATTAATGAGGCTTTTGATAGCTTTACAATTTAAAGCTTTTGTTGTAACTTAATGGTAGCACTGATTAGCTTTTTTATAAGCAAAAAATCACTGAGGTAATCCTTCTTGCCTGAAGGAAATATGGTATTTGTCTCTGGATGGCTAGTGATGAAGAATATATTAAAATCTAATGTAATATATAGATGGCTTTGGTGGTAACACTTGGTTTGTTAACTCATGTAGGGATTACTTTGTGAAATGAAGCCTAACCTATTTATTTTGGCTTGTGGACCATTTTGTTCACCTACAGCTTTGCATTTTTTTGTTTTTTTTTTGTCCTTGGTTTTATTCATATTTGTGTCTTGTTTACTGCTATATAGGTGTTTGTAGTAATGTAATACTGATTGGGAATAGTTTATTAATTAGATGTATTTTGAACATTCAGCAAGATTTTTTGTTCAGTAGGATTTCCCTCTCTCTTTTTTTTAGAGAAGGAAGGAATCGCCATTACTATAGTTGGTGGTTTTGCTTAGCCTTTCTTTGCAGTTTTTTTTTTCAAGTATGTCATGTCATTCTGCCTGGTATTATTCATACTTTTTACTCCAAGAGAGAGAGAGAGAGAAAAAAAAAACATATGTTGCTTCAATAAAGAAATGAAATAGGGAAAGGAAAGGAAGGAGAGTGGATGGAAAGTAATTTTATAGATGGTGGTGGTAGTGATTTTCTTTTTTTTATATATATTTATTTTCATCTCCACACTAAAATTTGTAATGATGAATATATCTTATGTTATGTTTGCATGGAAGTTATAAACTTTCTGTTATATATGATATGATGAAGAAATACATCTATCTTCAATTATTATATTTCATAATGTAAACAAACCCAGATATTGTTTGAGTGTGTGTGGGTGTGTGTTTGTTTTAAGTGCCCAATACATAATATTACTAAATATTAACAACTTTGCATTATATAGCAACTTGGATGATTAACTCTAACTTCTTCTGTTAAATATTTTCATAACATTCATTGACTTTCAGTAAAAGGCAGTTGTAGAGAAGCTGGTGTAGTCTCTTTGATAGGGAGAAAAAACTTCATGACTTCATGACCAGTATTTAGAACTTCAGTGATATACCTCAGAAAATTTCTATAAAAAGCAAGAAAAAATGTGCTATGCTTTCAACATATTTAGAATCTAATTCATAAAAATTCTAGCGATCTTGTTTTGTGCTCCTTTGCTGTTGCTGTGTTTATATTTAAAAAAAAATGAATGTTTTTTAAGACAGAACAATAAGGTCTTTTTTTTGTCATTCTTTGAGATATTTGCCAATATTTCTTTCCACTTAAGGTATGGAACTTTCATGCATCACTTGACAACTGTACTATATATAGGACTTTCTTTTGTAACTGCAGTATATTTATTTTGTAAGAAAATATAAGTTAAAAAGTGACATATTTTTCATTTTACTCATTTTTTGTAGGGAATAAGTTTTCATCTTTTCCTGATATATCTCTATAATATAAGAATTATACATTATATATATATATATATATATATATATATATATATATATATATATATATATATATATATATAAAATTTATTTACACATTTATGCACATCAAGATGAATAATTGTAGATGAAGAGGAATGTCACAAATTTTTTTTCTCAGAAAATCAATTCTAAAAATTTTGAAAATCTGCCTTTTTTTAACATAAAATAAGCAAGAACATGATTTCAAAGAGTTTCCTGGATTGAGGAAAGAGGATTATTAATTATTTCTACAATACCATAACTGGCATTTGTCTATGCTGGTATTATCTTTATTATAGAAGTAATGTATAATGATAGAGAGCCTGAGAAGCAAACTCAAGGATTTTACGTGCCAGTGAGAATTTGAAAAATAACGGTTGGTTTAGTTAATGTTGCAGAGGTATAATATTAATGCTTTCCAATAAATGTGGGCTCACATTACTCACTCATTCACACACACTCTGTCTCTGGCTCTGTCTCTGTCTGTCTGTCTGTCTCACTCTCTCTCTCTCTCTCACCACCTCCCTCTCTCTCTCTGACCTCCTTCCTCTCTCCCTCACTACCTCCCTCTTTCTCTCACTACCTCCCTTTCCCTCTATTTTTGTCATGCTCTATATTCCTTGTGTTTTATCTTCGTTCTTGTTGCCCGTTTTCTTTTTCACACACTTTTCGATGTAATAAGAATAATACTCCACCGAGCAGTCTAATTGGAAATAAAAGACCCAAGTATGATTACCCATCTAGCAAAATTCCCAGTCATTACGCAATAAGTTTTCAATAATGTTAAGACTTCAGGTCTGACTGTCTGACACCCGTTCTTTCACCCTCCCTCACCTTCTCTCTGCTATTACGTCACCGATTCACAGCTATTACGTCACCGATTCAGTAGCGTTACTATATCGTCACAAAGGGAGTCCAAGCCAGCAGCGAGTCCACCCACCGAAGGACTTCAATGAAGAAGTTCTCAGTCATTGGTTTGTATTGTCAGCGGCTGGTCCTTTGTGCTTTGTGCATCGCCAAAGGTCCGTGGGTCGCGGTTCCATTTTCTGCGTCTTGGTCCTTTGTCGTTTTCTTCTTGCATTGAAGGGGGACACTTTTAAAAGGATTGCGATTTCCATTCGGGGGGAGGGGTGGGGTAGATTCAGTTCTCTGTTGTCTCTTCTCTTTCTCTTTCCCTTCTCTTTTTCTTGTGTTTTCTCTTTAAAACTTTCCCATGAATCTACATTTTCTGGCATGATGAAGCGAAGGATGATTTTGATTTTTAAAGATTATATTATGGGGCTCTGCTCAGGTAGAACGTGAATTATAAACACCACTGGGAAAAGGCGGGGAACCAGAATGCAGAAATGATCAAGAGGATTTAATATGCTCTCATTAGATTTTCATTGATGGTTGAAAATGTTATCAAACGACTAGATAATCTTCGGCACAATTAAAAAGGGGGAATGTGTGTAAAAAAAAAAAAAAAAAAAAAAAAAAAAACGAGAATACATGCATACTGAAGAGACGAAGGAAAAATTCCTTTGAATGTCTCTTGTCTTTGAGACCCCCTTTCCCTTTCGAGGAAATTCAACAACGATATTTTAAGAAAAAAGTGAGAGTGAGTGTGTGTGTGTGTGTGTGTGTGTGTGTGTGTGTGTGTGTGTGTGTGTGTGTGTGTGTGTGTGTGTGTGTGTGTGTGTGTGTGTGTGTGTGTATGTGTGTATGTGTGTATGTGTGTGTGTTTGTGTGTTTGTGTGTTTGTTTTTTGTGTGTTTGTGTGTTTGTTTGTTTGTGTGTTTGTGTGTTTGTGTGTGTGTGTGTGTGTGTGTGTGTGTGTGTGTGTGTGTGTGTGTGTGTGTGTGTGTGTGTGTTTGTGTGTGTGTGTACATATGTATATGTATATGTATATGTATAT